CTCGACTTCAGACCTTGTTATTGGTCTATTCATAGTTTCAGGTTCCTCCTGGTTTAGGCTTGGGAGGACACAGGAGTCCAGGAATTTATCCATTTCTTCCAGGTTTACTAGTTTATGCGCATATAGTTGTTTGTAATATTCTCTGATGATGGTTTGAATTTCTGTGGAATCTGTGGTGATTTCCCCTTTATCAATTTTATTGCATCTATTTGGTTGTTCTCTCTTTTCTTTTTAATCAATCTGGCTAGTGGTCTGTCTATTTTGTTGATCTTTTCAAAAAACCAGCTCTTGGATTTATTGATTTTTTGAAGGGTTTTTCATGTCTCAATCTCCTTCAGCTCAGCTCTGATCTTAGTAATTTCTTGTCTTCTGCTGGGTTTTGAGTTTTTTGATCTTGCTCCTCTAGCTCTTTCAATTTTGACGATAGGGTGTCAATTTTGGATCTCTCCATTCTCCTCATATGGGCACTTATTGCTATATACTTTCCTCTAGAGACTGCTGTAAATGTGTCCCAGAGGTTCTGGCACGTTGTGTCTTCGTTCTCATTGGTTTCGAAGAACTTCTTTATTTCTGCCTTCATTTCGTTGTTTACCCAGTCAACATTCAAGAGCCAGTTGTACAGTTTCCATGAAGCTGTGCGGTTCTGGGTCGGTTTCTGAATTCTGAGTTCTAACTTGATTGCACTATGGTCTGAGAGGCTGTTTGTTATGATTTCAGTTGTTTTGCATTTGTTGAGCAGTGCTTTACTTCCAATTAAGTGGTCAATTTTAGAGTAGGTGTGATGTGGTGCTGAGAAGAATGTGTATTCTGTGGATTTGGGGTGGAGAGTTCTGTAAATGTCCACCAGGTTTGCTTGCTCCAGGTCTGAGTTCAAGCCCTGGATATCCTTGTTGATTTTCTGTCTGGTTGATCTGTCTAGTATTGACAGTGGAGTGTTAAAATCTCCCACTATTATTGTGTGGGAGTCTAAGTCCTTTTGTAAGTCCTTAAGAACTTGCCTTATGTATCTGGGTGCTCCTGTGTTGGGTCCATATATGTTTAGGATCGTTAGCTCTTCTTGTTGTATCGATCCTTTTACCATTATGTAATGGCCTTCTTTGTCTCTTTTGATTTTTGTTGCTTTAAAGTCTATTTTATCAGAGATGAGAATTGCAACTCCTGCTCTTTTTTGCTTTCCATTAGCTTGGTAAATCTTCCTCCATCCCTTTATTTTGAGCCTTTGTGTATCCTTGCATGTGAGGTGGGTTTCCTGGATACAGCACACTGATGGGTTTTGGATTTTTATCCAATTTGCCAGTCTGTGTCTTTTGATTGGTGCATTTAGTCCATTTACATTTAGGGTTAATATTGTTATGTGTGAATTTGATACTGCCATTTTGATGCTAAGTGGCTGTTTTGCCTGTTAGTTGTTGTAGATTCTTCATTATGTTGAAGCTCTTTAGAATTCAGTGTGATTTTGGAATGGCTGGTACTGGTTGATCCTTTCTATGTGTAGTGCCTCTTTTAGGAGCTCTTGTAAAGCAGGCCTGGTGGTGACAAAATCTCTGAGTACTTGCTTGTTCGCAAAGGATTTTATTCTTCCTTCACTTCTGAAGCTCAGTTTGGCTGGATATGAAATTCTGGGTTGAAAGTTCTTTTCTTTAAGAATGTTGAATATTGGCCCCCACTCTCTTCTGGCTTGTAGTGTTTCTGCCGAGAGATCTGCTGTGAGTCTGATGGGCTTCCCTTTGTGGGTGACCCGACCTTTCTCTCTGGCTGCCCTTAGTATTCTCTCCTTTATTTCAACCCTGTTGAATCTGACGATTATGTGCCTTGGGGTTGCTCTTCTTGCGGAATATCTTTGTGGTGTTCTCTGTATTTCCTGCAATTGAGTGTTGGCCTGTCTTGCTAGGTGGGGGAAATTTTCCTGGATGATGTCCTGAAGAGTATTTTCCAGCTTGGATTCATTCTCTTCGTCCCCTTCTGGTACACCTATCAAACGTAGGTTAGGTCTTTTCACATAGTCCCACATTTCTTGGAGACTTTGTTCATTCCTTTTTGCGCTTTTTTCTCTGATCTTGGTTTCTCGTTTTATTTCATTGAGTTGGTCTTCGACTTCAGATATTCTTTCTTCTGCTTGGTCAATTCGGCTATTGAAACTTGTGTTTGCTTCGCGAAGTTCTCGTATTGTGTTTTTCAGCTCCTTTAATTCATTCATATTCCTCTCTAAGGTATCCATTCTTGTTATCAATTCCTCGAATCTTTTTTCAAATCTTTTTTCCAGGTTCTTAGTTTCTTTGCATTGATTTAATACATAATCTTTTAGCTCACAAAAGTTTCTCATTATCCATCTTCTGAAGTCTAATTCCGTCATTTCGTCACAGTCATTCTCCGTCCAGCTTTGTTCCCTTGCTGGTGAGGAGTTTTGGTCCTTTCTAGGAGGCGAGGTGTTCTGGTTTCGGGTGTTTTCCTCCTTTTTGCGCTGGTTTCTTCCCATCTTTGTGGATTTGTCCGCTGGTCATCTGCGTAGTTGCTGACTTTTCGTTTGGGTCTCTGAGTGGACACCCAGAATGTTGATGATGAAGTATTTCTGTTGCTTGGTTTTCCTTCTACCAGTCTAGCCCCTTCGCTGTATGACTGCTGAGGTCCACTCCAGACCCTGCTTGTCTGGGGTGCACCTCTAGTAGCTGTGGCACAGCGAGGGATGCTACCAGTTTCTTTTTCTGCTCTCTTTGTCCCAGGATGATGCCTGCCTAATGTCAGTCTTTTGGATATAGAGGGGTCAGGGAGCTGCTTGAGGAGACAGTTTGTACTTTATAGGGGTTTAATTGCTGAGCTGTGCACTCTGTTGTTCATTCAGGTCTCTTAGGCTGCTATGTTTTATTCTGCTGCAACAGAGCTCATTAAAAAACCCTTTTTTTTTTTTTTTCTCAAATGCTCTGTGTTGAGGGGTTTGGGCTTTATTTTTGGATGTCCGATCAGGTGTCCTGCCCAGCTAGAAGGCAGACTAGCCACTGTTTGGCTGCCGAGGCTCCGCCCTGCTGTTGTGTGATTCGTGCTGTTCCTGCCGGCTCTGCTGTGGTCTCCGCCATGCCCTGCGGCGGAGTCTCTTCGTTGTAGCGTGTTGCCTCAGCAACGGCAGGCTGCGTCAGCAGTGGGCGTGTATCTCAGTAGGGATGGGTTGCCTCGGCAACGGCTGGCTGCGTCAGCAATGGGCGTGTATCTCAGTTGGGGCGGGTTGCCTCGGCAACGGCTGGCTGCATCAGCAGTGGGTGTGTATCTCAGTTGGGGCGGGTTGCCTTGGTAGTGGTGGACGCCCCTCCCCCACAGAGCATCTTGGACCGTCTGCTCGGGATAGTTTGAAATCGCGGTTTTGTTCGTCCCACTGGGTATCCCAATCCCTGCAATCCCCTGGGCTGGCCTACTGTCCAAGTCTCGTTCAGTCTCAAGTCCAGCCCTCTCAAGTCTCAGGTTGCCGGTTCAACAGGGCACCCGGACAAGCGTGCCCTATGGGGATTGCTGGGTAGGGCCGGCCGCCGCCGCCCCGGCTGCCAGCTTCGCCAGGCAGACCTACTGCCTGGCGTCCTGTGTCTTTTTTATACTTGGGAGTTTCCCCTTTCTGTGGGCAACAAAGATCAGTCTGGAAATGCCGCTCTGACTCACCGTTTGCGGATTCGACGAGAAGAGCTCCAATCCTGGGTTGTTCTCACAGCACCATCTTGAGTCCTCCCCTCTTGAGTTACTTTTATCTGTTTATGCAATAAAAGTGCAAGCTTTAAATTCTAGAACACTAAATAGACATCTATTGTCCCAGCTCTGTGTTCAGTAGATTAAAGATATTAAACAAACACTCTTTCAGCTTGATAAAAGCATTAAAAGAGAGAAGAACCACCTTCTAAATAGTTCTTAACCTTTTATTAATCAGAAAGCTTTGCATGATAATTGGAAATTCCCTGGAAACAGACAGAAAGGGACCAGTTTTGGCAATAGCCTGGGGAAGCCACTGGACCTTGTTATAAAGAGGCAATGGGTAGGTCCATCAAAGTACTCCAAAAGGTAGAACCACATCACCCTGCTCTGCAATAGAAGAGAGCAGTAATCAAGATGCTTCCAGCCAAAAGGCATATTTTTATATGAAGATTAAAATCTGAAATAAATAAAAGGCAAGAAACAAGTTAAATAATTAAAAGCTAAAATTCTCCAGCTAAGTCTGAAAAAGAGCATCAGGATAATTAAGATAAATCTTCAATTAAAGCTCACAGTTGAGAGCATGGGAAGTGTAGGTTTTCAGGGAAAAGAGAGCCTGGGACCTAAATGTCTTTGATCACACAGAGGTATCTCTATCTCCACCCCAGGGTTCCTCACCAATTGACACTTACAGGCCAAGGCTACGTACTCTATCTTTTAAAGCAATCACAAGGCTACATACTCTATCTTTTAAAGCAATCACATGACTTCCTTTAAATTAGGGATTGTTAGCTTTTGAATCGAATGAAATATCAAGAACAAAGCAACATTTTGAAAGGTAAACACTGAAAATAGCCTTCGACTATTTTGTTCTCTACAAGTACTTTTTAAAAGATGATCTAAAAAAAGAACTTGTACAACAGGAGGAAAGCTTAATAAATTAAAGTGCATCAATGTTGCGAAACTGCCATTCAAAGTGGTTTCTATGGAAACTATTTGACAACATAGAAAAATCAAATTTATAAAACCAGATAACTAAGTGACATATGTAATGATTTTAACTTTGAAAAATAATATATAAGAATGCAAACAATGACTAAAGATATTATATTAAAGTTAAAATTACATTTCATGTGATTCTAAGTAATTCTACTGACTTGCAACATGCTTTAGATGGGAAAACACTTGACGTTTTATATTAAAATATTAATCTTTTTGGCCAGAATCCCATAATTTGTTTTAATGTCCACAGCAGTAAGGAACTAAAAGTCTAGCTTATGGTCTTTTCTTTATGTTTTTCTTTTGTCTGTATGCTTTTTTTCTTTTTTCTTTAGGAGTGGAAACTCATCAATGCCAATTTTCTCTACCGATGGTGGACCTTTTGTCAAATTAAACACAGCACCTGATGGCAGCTTAATACTAACACCCAGGTGGGTCCCAAAACCTGCTCTTAGACTAGTTGTACAGAGACATGGAAGAAGATAGATTGTTGGAATCAATCAGATTTGAATGCTAACACACACTGGTCATAAAACCTTAAAAGTTATTTGACTTATTATTCTTTAAGTAATCTCAAACTGTATCTGCTTAATATTATCGGTTAACATTTTCTAATCTTAAAATATATAAGATGTTCAAAAGAAATATTCTATATGTAAATTTCTGGCACACTCTTAGGGATTTGACGTGTTTTAATTTTATACGCTTTTTTATCCTTAGCCTCACATTAATAAACAATTAAATCACATGGAAAGAAATTGTGAGAACTGGGATAAAACAGGTCCAGTGCTGATCAAACTAAAGAAGGCAGCACAGATTAGCTACCACTAAAAGAGAAGACAGGGAAGAATCCTGATATTCTTTTCTCTTCGTTGGCAAATAGAACATGCATGTTAAGAGAAGAAGTCTAGACTTCTCGTCGTGTCTACATATTCTCTTTTACTTTTTAATGTAAGGTTTATGTTTATAGCCTTTGCTAAGGTTTTAAAAAGCAGCATTTTTTCTGTATCCAAAGAGCTGTTTTAGCTTAGATTAAGTCATTTCTCCTATTTGGGTGTTAATAGTAATTCTTGTTGAAATTGGCTTCCTAATTTTACAGTACGATTAAAGAACAGCTGTGGGTGGGAAGAACATAACCACAAGAAGGCACAACTACTAACAAGGATTTAAGATGCTTTGCTGTACATTTTGTTTAATGGTAAAAATGAAATTAGATAATTATTCAGTTTTTCATGAAAAGTTACCATTTCTGTGAGCTTAATCAGTAAAAGAATAAAACTGGTAAAGAAGTATTTTTAGTACCAATAAAGGAATTTTGCAGTTGAATGTTTTATATTAATGTTTGCTGGACCTTGACTGATATTATGAGTCTCATCAGATATGAAGCAAAGCATCTGCAAGTGAGAAAGCAGGCTTCTAGATTTCCTTCCTTATAAGGCATATCTAAATTTATATTACCATATTGATCCTGAAGCAGTTTGTATGCTGAGAATTTCTTCTGTTTTTCATGTCTTAGAGGCATTTAATAATTTGTAAGAAAAAATCTTTAAAATCTTTTATGTTAATTATATGCATGCTTCAGAATAGAACTAGCTTATTCTATGCTTATCAGCAAAATGCCAGTATCATTTTCCACTGATGTCACTATTATAATGTATGTTTGTGTTATTTGAAAGGGACATCATTTATAGACCTATTTTAACCTTTCATCATGTCAACAAGTCAGTTAATTAAATTTCCTTAATCCCTTCCTTAATCAGCCACATTATATTGGGTTGGCAGAAAATCAGACATATGTTCATTTATTTATTCATTTGGTTAATTTATTTATGCATTTATTATTTATTGCTTAGATGATTATGTTTGTAGCCTTATGAAAACTGGTGCTTTTGAAAATGTCCTTAAAAAATAAATAAATAAGGAAATGTCCTTGCACTAGTGATTATAATAAAAAGTAAAAGAAGAGGATGTCAGGAAAAATGATTCAGCCAGCTATAAGAGTCTACCGACCTGTATTCCGATTATTTAACCTATTGTCAGATATATGCAAGACTCAGACCACCATACCCCACCACTGGGTTAAAAAAAAAAAGGAGTTAATTGAGATTTTTTTGGGGGTTTTATAAATACATGTCGATATGTCTAGATTGATATACATGCATGCACCCTAGTTACCAAAATGATAGACTTTCTTATATTTCAACTAAAATCATTCTGTGTTCTAAAAAATATGCCATTCAATACGGAGACACATGATTTCAAATAAACTTTATCATTTATTTTCCTGAAACGCTAAATTGCTTTGGTTGAATATGTGGATCTTAGGTCTTATTTACGTTGCATTTTCAAAAACCTAAACAGCATACACAATCAGCGGCAGCCAAGTATATAAACGTAAGTCATTGCACGTATATGTGTATTTGAATGTCTAACGTGCGCGTTTTAATGTAGCTGATATTTGCAGTGGTTGCCTTTGGAAATAGTGGGAACAAGTACTCTAATTTCTTGTGTTATGCTGATCTCTAGTGGTTGGTAAGTATAATGCATTGTAAAGCAAATTTGCTTAGTTTTTGTTTAAAACGGAATTCGTGACATTAAAAAAGTCAATAAATTTCCAAGCAGATGATGCGTTTTCAATAATTTATGCCTAACATTTCTTTTGTATGTGCTTGTTACGTGTCTGTCTTCCTTGAAAGCAGCACCTGTGACACATTCGTCATTCAATTTCCGGAATGAAGCACACAGCCTTGTACACAGTGTTGGGCACGTAATATTGTGGGACTGGCAATACTGAGGCATACTCTGTGTTACTGAATGATGAAAACCAAGATTGGTTCAAGTAAAATAACGATATCTATCATTTACAGAATTTAATTGCACATAAGGCCCTGTAGTGGTTTTACTGCAAATATTGCTTTTTATTCTCCCAACACTCCAATAAAGTACTATTACCCTCATTTTATGGAGAAGAAACTGGGTCTCAGGGATAGTGAACAACTTCCCCCGAAGTCACATAGCAATGGTAGAATAAGGATGCAAACTCACCTCTATTTGACATTAAACTGGGGCTTCTTCAGCTTAACGATTCAGTCTCCCTACATTTCGTATATGAGACATTAAGATGTCCATTTTACTAAAGCAAAAGCAGGATAACCTACACAATGTTTGACTTTAAAGTATTAAGTGAGTAATTTTAAAAATATGATTGTTCTTTTGTTACAGTCAATGGTGTTTACAGGATTCCTTGATTCTGTTACAATGTAACCATAAATGTAAGTAACTATGTTCTCATATCCCCCTTCAAGCATTCTGTTTAAAATTCTGAATGGACTTTGTATGTCTGAAGTTATTTTGCTACCACTCAATTTTCACTGTCAGAACTAAATGCTCTTTCTCCAATTATTTTAATAGCTTGTGGAAAAAAACTGGTGGCTCAAGACATCACCCCAAAGATTGTTGGAGGGAGTAATGCAAAAGAAGGAGCCTGGCCCTGGGTTGTGGCTCTGTATTATGACGGCCGTCTGCTCTGCGGTGCCTCTCTCGTCAGTAGTGACTGGCTGGTGTCTGCTGCACACTGCGTGTATGGGTGAGTGTGATGCCAGGTGTCTCTTCCCAATGAGGTCACCATGGCAGGCACTGCCAAGCATCCCATTTTATGCAGACTCACAAAACCATCCCACCAGGGAAATCCTGTTTTTTATTACATTATAAACATTCCAATTATTTTCCCATTAATGTCATGTATAAAAACAGAGAAAAATTTTTAAAAATTATTCTGCATTAGATACATATATTAATGATTCTACATTAGATATAATATTATTAGATCCTTTTACATACATAAAAATAGAAATTTTTGCCACTTCACAAGGTAAGAATTTTTAAGAGTGTGAAATTAGTATTTATTATATAGATGTACTGGTTACCATTCCAATATTTATTGTTAGTAAATTGTCAAATCAGAAAGTATGCTTAGGTAGCCCTTAAATTACAACTATGTTGTGCTCTAGAAGTTCATGGATAAGCACTTTGTTGTGAATTCGGATAAAAGTACTTAGTTCTTAAGTCAGATCTATTTTGATTGCTACCTATTACCTGAAATTTAGAACTAATATCAAGCATATTTAACTCTGTTTTATACTATAATAGAACAAGATACATGTGGAATTCTGGCATGTGTTTTGCAGTACCTCAGGAGAGACCAGAGTGGTTGGAAGTGGGCGGGAGTAAAGGAGGAAAAAATAAATAATCCCGGGCCCAAGAAAATGTTCATTCTCCTCTTCCACATGAAAGATGCCACCTCTTTAGGTCGTCACATAGTTCTGAATTAGGTCAGGAAAAAAGGAGCTTCCTCATAGAAGATGTATGAGCCTAACCTAGGTCTCATCTCCTGTCCCTATGCCAGTGAGACATCCAGTGAATTACCTTACCCATGAGGATTACATTAAGCCTCTCTGTAGCCAGCATCCAGAACCTCTGAGGAAAGAACCATGCGTGCTCAGGTGTGGAAGAGGCAGCGTTAGTTAATCAGGTTACAAGACAACTTTCCTTACATCCACACAGACATTTAAGATCCTTGAGTAAATAAATAAAAATTGTCAGACACAGAGATTGTGAAAATTTTAAAGGAGATAGGGAAAGCCAGGTAGAATGAGCATTAACGGATTGTACCTATGCCTAAACATCCATTATATCAGAGTAAAAGTAGACTCAAATGCATAGTCCCAGGACTTCGGAGAAAAAGTACCCTCAACTAGATCTCAGGTTTGCCAACTAGCTGGTCTCCAAAGGAGCTATCCACAGCACCATCCCATCTACATCTAAAGCTCTCTCTGATTCTACGGAGATTATATTACGGCCTCTCCCATAACTAAAGTGCCCCTTCTTGACTTTGCTTCCTTCTAATAATTATATTGTAATTTATTTTCATACTGTAACAAGCGTCTGTAGAGGCCGTTTTTCCATCCCCTGCTAAGCCTGGCTTTAACCTTTATCTACATATATCGTTTGCTTTGGGCAAGTCACAGATAGGTAACACCTATATGCTGTGTTGCAAATCAACGCTAGTTTTAGCTAAAGAGTCAGTGTTTTCTGTTGCACATATGTAGATCTTAATAAGTTAGCAACTTTGCTATATTAACCTTGAATTTGGAAAATTCCTGTTTAATGTTCTTGCTGAACATACGCTCTCTAAATGTCAATCAGGCTCATGGTAATATTAGTGATGTCTTTAAATTATCAGTTTTACAGATGTAATTCTAATAGATCAATGATACCCATATCATAGCTTTCCAAACCACAAATATATGAAGAAAACAGAAAGGCAGTTTTGCCTAGTATAAGCACGTGTCCAGTCGCTACCAGAGAGGAGTCCGGATCCAGATGCCAAGAGGGGATTCTTGAATCTCACACAGGAAGAAATTCAAGACGAATTGCAGAGTGCAGTGCAAAAAGATTGTTTATTGAAAGCTCCTGGGTCACAGGGTAGGGCATCCTCAGAAAGCAAGAGAAGGAACACCCTTTAAGTTTTTCTTATATGTGCATCTTCTCTATATAAAGACTAAACAAAACTGTGTCTACATGAGAGTAAGCTTAATAAAATTTATTATTCTATTGATTTAGAGAAAACTATCCTTGACATTGCAGTGTGTGAAAGCATAGTTATCTTGAAAGCATAATCGTTATGGGTGTTGAGACATCCGGACTTTCCATTGTCATAGGAATAGGTCCTTGTAGGTATCTATAGGCTGCTTTCTCAACTGTAAACATTTTATGACTATGGGTCGTGACCAGCACAGAATGTGTCTTGTTAGCCTCAAGATGTGGCTGAAGTCACAGTGGTGTTACCTTGGCTCTCCTATGCTCCTGCTTCTCTAACACAATCACATAGGACATTAAAATGTCTTTTCACAGTTTCAACTTAAGCACAAGCAAAGGTAAGTTGTATTAGAATTGTGATGAATTCAAAATTATCCTTACCTACCATGCATTTTACTCTCCTTAGGCATTCAAAGGAATTTTTTTTTCTCTAGAGCCTAAGAGTTTTCTTGCTTTCTACTCATGTCTCTACCAAAGAAAGTTTCTGATAATCTTTTAGATTGTTTCATCATAAACTGTTTTTATCGGTATGTTAATACTGGCTCTTATCTGTCTATTCAAAACCCTAATTGTGCTATGAAAAGCTTAATTTCCTAATAAAAAGAGTAACCCAGATCAAGCAACTGATTGAACTCACGCTACACAAGTGGCTTGTCCTCAGTGTAAACCTTTTCCAGGTGTTTTGACCGGCATGTGGTTAAATGGTTTAATTGAACAGCTCTTCTGTTTAATCTTATCATCAACCCTTCATTTGCATTCCTCAGGCTAAGTTCTCTTAAATGATTCTAAATAAACTTCCTCCTGTTCTGTTTCTCTATTATGGTGTTGTCCTTTTACAACCTTAAAAGAAGAATTTGGAAAAGGGTGGGCCAACCTTATTGTGCTTTAAAGGGCAAGTATGACTTTGAACCAAAGGACAGGATTTCAATCCTATATATGCAGCCAACCACATGTGTGATTATGGACAAGCAGCTTAGTATCTCCAAGTTTCAGTTCCTCATCTGTAAAAAGTTCATAAGGATCTCTATCTTGCTTGTCAGAGCAACAATCAGATGGTGCAATGCGTTTGCCTACCACAATTCATCGCAAGAATGTGCAATAAAATGTTTATTGTGTTGTAGTTCCTGGATAGGAAATCTCTATGAAAGAAGAGGTCAAGTATTGCACAACAGATACTCAGCATATTTATATTCTGAAATTTGTATATTTATATAATTTCAAACATGCATAAAAATTGCAAAAATAGTACATAGAGCTCTTTATACCTTTACTCAGACTCACCAATTGCTTACATTTTCCTCTGTATATTTTATTAACATCCCTTTCTAAGTCAGGAGACTACTTTTTCTGAACAGTTTAGTAGTAGATTAGATGTATTTTTATATTCTTAAGTACTCAGTGTACTTTTACTAAAAACAGGGGTGTTTCCTACAGAATCACAGCAAATCATGGACATTTAACATTAATGAAATACAATTCTAATTAATTGTCAAAAATATGCTCTTTATTTAATTCATATTTGCCATGTTAGAACCAATTCAGGATAATGTATTGCATTTGGATGCTACACATTGTTTCATCTCCTTTAGTCCAAAGTAGCTCCTTTCTGTATTTCTTGTTTTTAATATTTGTGAATACAGGCCAGTTATTAGGTAGGAAAATTCTTCTATTTGGAAAAAATAAAATAAAATAAAGAAAAACCCTTCAAGCTTACTCCTTTCTCAGCCTTAATATAATCCCACTCTTTGAGAACTTCTTTCATTTTCTGTCAAAATAAAATGGTCCAGGTTAATCTTGTGCTTTTTCTATCCTAGCCCTCAAGTCAACCTCTCTCTATAAAAAAACTTTATTTCTATTTAACTAATTTCAGTTATTTCTGTATTTTGGTAAATATGTTCTTGTGTGCTTATGGCTACTGTATCCTTTTACTAAAATTACTCAATGAACAAAGCTATATTATATACCTGTAAATATAAACTCAAAACAATGACTCCAATTCAAATAGAATACTACAGTAAATTCTCATCCTGTCTTCTTCTGTATTTTTACCTCTTGATTCCAATACTAAAAAGCATTGTTCCTGTTATCCACAAACTATTAATGTATTTGCTGAAGCCTGGAAAGCCTGGAATACAAAAAGGGGTCTGGTAATTGCTAATTCACAGTACTGCATAAAGCAGACTCATCAACCAGAATTTAATATTTGTTTTCTGTTCTTTTTTCCTGCTGACATATAGCAAAATGCATAAACTTAAGTATACAATTTGATGGATTTTTTAAAATGCATGCACCTGTTAAACTGACATTTCTCTCAAGATACAAAACATTCCAATCATCCAAAAAGTTTCTTCATTGCCACTTTCTAGTCACTCAGATCCCAGCTTCAAGAAGCAAATATTGAGTCACTTGGATGGGTAGTCATATACAGATTTATAGTCTGGATCACATTCATTGAATAGACATCTATTAAAGACGAAATTAATAATAGGGAGCTTCTTGCTAATATCTCATTCTTTAATTTAGCTTTTCAGAGCAGACCAGAAACATCACATGGATTACCTGGTTTCTTACTGAAACAATTTCTTAAAACATATGTTAACATTTCTGAAATAAATAATTTCATATATGAGGTATTTGGGGCATACTATTTATACTTTATTTAGTCCTCAATTTATACTTTTTATATTTCATATATACTTTAATAAATACTGTTTATACATCATTTAGTACTCAGTTTATTAAATAGATATAACTGATAAAACTTTGAAAATCAACTTTTTAAACAGGTAAGCATTTATAATAAAATAACATTAATTGGTACTGTAATTACAATTTAAAATTTTAATTTTTTTGCCTCAAATGCTCAAAGCAGAACACAGAACACATAAATATATATATATATATATATTTATGTAAAGCATTTGAGGCATTCAAAATGAATTTTTAAAAATTTAAAATTTTTTAATACCTAATTTCTACTTAAGCCTA